ACAGTGTATCCTGGCTAGTAATGTTGCCTAAGTAAATTACAGTTACTACAAGTTCAGCACATAGTCCATGTGCAACTATTCGGAAATACATAAATGTGCAATTTATTGCAGATACATTATCCTTTCTTTACAGATTGAAGTCCTTGAAATGGCTATAGCTTCAGTTTTCACTGAGAATCCAATTTATGTTTGCTTTGGGACTTTTATTATAGTTAAGCATGTCCCAAAAAATTTTTTTGCTTTGGAGTGTTAGACAATGGACAAAGTCCAGAATTTAGGTAATCTCAAATTTGTTCTTTCCTTCTAAGCACTTTTCCATTTTATGTGTTTTACATAACAAGCATTAACCATTTCCAGCAACACATATCATTGTGATAAAAACTAAAACTGGTCAACAAACTGCTGGAGTGAACTAGACTTACAAATTAAAAAAAAAAATTGATGACAGACTGATGCTATTGTGTTTTAACAAGCAGGGAAATCAACAACAGGATAAAAAAAGGAATATATTATTATTATTCTTGTTGTTGTTGTTAAAATAAAATAAAATAAAAGAAATTTTTGTTCCCACTGATGAATTATGAATGGCTTTTACTACCTTCATATAGAAGATGCAGTTACATTATTTCCCTGTGTGGGAAAACAGAAATTGGAAAATTTATGTTTCTATGGGAAAGTAAAGCTATTGGAAGTAAAAGCTCATAATACCTAACAGTAATTTTGAATGTCACATGAGACATAATTATAATGTTGTTGACAGACAGTGTGGTGGGTTATAAACTAAAGTAATTACTCAAAGACTATATTAAGTCACAGGTCACAGAATATTCCAAAATTAAATTGCCTCAAAAAGTTCTGGTATTTTTCCAGTAAGTGTAGAGTACAGGGCAGTTTTGCTTCTTCATTGAGACCTTGTTTTAGAATAAACTATGTCTGAATGCTGGGAGTATTATGTTTATATTCTTGTCAGTAAAGTGACTGACAAGAAGACTGCTTTCTTCATAGTCACTGCCGTGAAAGCCTCAAATCTTACATAAGAAGCTGTTTGACCAGGATTCATTTCCTGGTAGGGGCTTTGGGTTTTTTCAGTCTTCTGTCCAGTGGGCACTGGGGACTCCTTCCATAGTGATAAAGCAACTGAAGCAGAAAGCCAAGTTATCTCCATTTAGTACTGAAGTTAAGAATGTTAGGAATTTTACTTCCATTTCTCTTAGACACTTAACATGTGCTTAAGTTCAGTGACAACTTTTCATCTTTTATTCTTCCACTAATTTTAAATATACTAATTCATTGTGTAGAGCAGATTCCTTGTCCAGAACCAGTTGGTCATTAGGCAATTTCCATGATGGTTTATACCATGATTGCAAGAGCCTGCAGCTAGAATCTGACTTAGAGCTAGGTGGATCTAGACCATAGTCTCTCATCATTATTCCAAAGAATGTGTCCAAGTCCAAGGCCATGTGTAACATTTCATAACATGGTAGACTATATTCAGCCTGCCTTCCTGTCTGCTAAATTTCTGCTGGCCCTCACCAGCACAGTGATTCTTGGTTCCAAGTCCCACAGGACCCATGATCAAATTTTACTCTCTGACAGCTCTGGGAGTTGGGTCCTAATAGAAAATACCACTTCCAACGGTTCCTCTTTTACTGTGTGTTTATTCGTCACCACAGAAATGTGTTTACATGCTGTTGCCTATCAGTGGCTCTCTTGTTGCAGTATTCTACCTTTCAGCTGTCCTGTTGCAGTACTTTTTTTTTGTATGTGGAATATTAGGAGGGCATCTCTTTGTATATTTATTTATTTTAATGAGTGTATACATATTCAGAGACTGTAAGAAATTGGAAGGCTAAGATTTTTAAATAGTTTACATTTTCCTTGTCGAAGGCAAAATATAAAATACAGACATTACACACTAAAACAACTCTGTGGTGACAGACTGTAAAGGTTCAACATTGCTGTTCTCATAGCCTGTTGTGAATACAGATATTAAGCAGACTAGAAGTACACTCAATCTCGATTATCCAGGATAATGGTGGGGATGGAAATCACAATTAATCAAAAACCCGGTTAAGACAAATTTTATTAAAAGTAGTACTGTAATATTGTACCTTCATAATACTATAGGCCTACCTGTATTTAAATTTATTCAACCTCATTTTTATGTCATCTCATGGCCTATTTAATACTTTCTTTACATTACACTGAAGTATGAATTAGTTATTTCAATCTCAGTGTTCAACAACATCCAACACTTTTCACGAATATTCACACTTAACACTTAAAAAAATTTAATATTGTCATTTGCTTTTTCGCGGCATTTTCCTTTTTACGGATATCGGTACGAAGCCTATGTAATATTAGTTTGTCACTTAATAAACTGTTCTCTTCACTCTCAAGATAGTCTAGTAAGGATTCCAAATGATTAAGAGCAGCACCATGTGATATTTTCTTACTAGCAGCACTGTCAACCTCTTCCTTATTCTCACTTTCTTCCTGCTCTTCTGGCTGCACCCCCACTGAACTTACAATTTCGTCATTGCTTAACATTTTGAAGCCTGGCTGACACGAGTCACAGTCAAACCACTCTCTTATATTTTCCTCGTTCACTTCTACACCACCATGAACTAGGTTAGCCAGTTTTGTCAATTCTATGGCTATCTCATTGTCCCTGAATCCAGTGAATCCATGGATTTTGTCATCTTCATTAGTGATGAAAGGCATCAGTTTCTTCCATGAATTTTTTCAATACAAATTGGATAAGTGCGGTAACATTAGGAGGAAAATATTTCACAAAAATATTTCCATCATCTGACGTCAGGAGACTTTCGTTAGGATGTGAGGGCGCATTGTCAACGAGGAGCACAGCTTTCTCACGTAGGCCTTGGGATTTTAGATGGTCACGAACTTGAGGCACAAATTTAAAATCAAACAATTCTTTAAATATCGCTCTATTCATCCAAGCTCCTTTCTGTTTAAAATAATGGGTAGGCAGACTTGAATCTCTCCTTACTGGATTTGTGACCTGGAGCCTGTCTTTCATTTTGAAATGCGAAAGTTCTGGTCAAGTATTTCCAATAAAGGCCCATTTCATCAGCATTATAGATTTGTTCTGTCAGCAGATTTTCACTTTTCACGAAACTATCAAAATTGGTGCAAAATTGAACAGATGATGACAAGTCCCCTGACAATTTCTCACCTTGAATACTAATTTCTCGTATTGCATGATGCTGCATGAAATGTGTTAGCCAACCGGAAGAAGCGTCAAAACTTCCTTGTAGTTCAAGTGCTTCGGAAAAAAATTTTGCTTGTTTAGCACAAACTGCTCCTGTTATTGTTGTTCCCTGTGTCCTTAGTTGATTAAACCAGATCAGCATTGCTTTGTCGAGATCATCGCCTGTTGATTTTTTCATGGTTTTTCTCTTCATTCCGCTTGAATTAGAAGATGAAGCAAAGGAAATTAATCAATTCTTTTGTTTTTTCAAATCACGAACAGTTTGTTCTCCAATACCATATTGCATTGCTAATTGTTTAACTACACCTCTTTTTCCCAACTGATCGATAATTTCAAGTTTCTGTTGAATACTAACACAATACACTTCCCTTTACACCCTGACATTTTGCTAACACGTTTGAAGATCAATACAAAGAGACTTAACTGGGGCGGTGTATCTGTCCTTGAAACTTTCCACAAATCCTTGCATTCTTTCACCCCTACCCTAGAACATTGTGTTAGCATAATGGGACCAAAAAATGCAGAGCTCGGTTCACACTAGTGCGAAAATAGTGTTACAACTCACCATGTGAAACAAAAGTGAATGAATATTAAACAACATATAAGCCTCAAAAAAGCCCTGGCAGCCCCGGTTAAGCCACAGACCGGTTTATCTGCCCCCATATAATTGAGAGTCAAGTGTACTAGAAATGATGACTTTGTTAGCAAGTTGAAAGCTGCACTGTTTGTTCAGTATTGTATGTAAATGAATATACTTATATGAGTCATGCCTTTGTATGTTTCCACATGACTGGGTGAAAGGTAAAGAGGAGGAAGTCATGTGAGAGTATAATATACCTGTGCTGAATGTCTTCATGTCATTGATTTTCTTCATGCCTCTACATTTGATTCCATAATGTAATGCTTTTCAATTAAGTATCTATAATATTGTTAATTGATTTGTTATGTATTTTGGAATGTGACAGAAATTAAGATTGCAAGATTGGTCAGCATTCAGATTAATACAGTTTTATTTTTGTAGCTGTAGGTGATACTTTTCCCTCAGGAGTATAATATGTTATTTTCCAAAGTTACAAGCTATATAAGTTCCATTCTTCGAGCAGTGAATTTTAAAGACTGGGTATATAATGAAAGGGGCACATGGTAGCATTGTTGGCTGAAGCACTATGCTACAAGCCTGAAGGTTGTGGGTTTGAGTTCTGATGAGGTGGATTTTTTTCAGTTGACCTAATCCTTTCAGCTTCACCATGGCCCTGGGGTCAACTCAGCCTCTAACAGAAATGAGTACCAGGAATCTTCCTGGGGGTAAAGGGCAGCCGGCGCATAAGGCTGACAACCTTACCGCCAATTGTGAGCTGATTCTCTAGATAATGTGAGACCCTCAATGTCTCACAACCCTATGGGCTCCCATGGCCCATTACAGAGGTAGCTTTTTTTATATAATGAAAATTTCTTTTTCTGGCTCCTCTTCCACTTTCCACTCCTCTTTTTATCTACTTGATAACCTTACCAAATTACAGTAGATTCTCCAAACAAGAGTGTGAAACCTTGAAAATGCTGTGAATATTTACTATAGTGCAATGTGCAGTGTGATATCTATAGTGTGATTAGGTTCACATAAATAGAATTGTGTTTGTGATAAGTGAATATCACAACCTTTGACATGTGTAAAACAACACGATCACATTTGGAAAATGTGCTTTCTTGCTTCGGTAAAATTTTCCACACTTTTGATGTTACACTGATATTCAGGCTATATTTTCAGCATTCCATACACAGCAATTCAGACTGCAGCATCACAGCGTCGACTGTTTCATTTGACCTACGCTGACATGGATGGTCATGAGGCATCCCTGGAGATCAAGTTGGAATCCTCGCAGGCAGCCAGTGGTGTTTATAGAGCCATCACAGAAAAACATGCATTCTACAGTTGTGAGACAGTTCGGAGTGCTGTGACCACACAGTTTATAAGAGATCTCAAGGTACTATTGGTCTGTAGAATCCAGTTTAAAAGCATACCTGATTTGTATCTGTTAACCTTTATCAGTCATGCACTGTTGTGGTGGTTATGTATGTGGTCCACCTGGCCAAGCATTCCATTTACTCAATATTAATGTTACCTGCAAGAAATATTATGGCTGCAAGCTCCATAGTATAAGTATTCATTCTTATTTACTAGTGTGAAAAATGCAGTTTCATTTTAATGCAGTTAACTAATTTGGACTGATCTGAATTAGTAATGCTTGCTTTGATGCAAATTGCTTACCAGTCAGTGAAGAGTGGTGGGGTGAAGGTGAGTATTATGTGGGTTTGTGAGGAGGGATGATTGAGGCGCAGGGGAAGTTTGTCCCAGCTGCACATCCTCGTCTTTCCATCTGCGTTTGCATGAAAGTCATAGTTTGGGATGCAACTAAAGATGGATGATTTTTTTTAAAGAACCCAGGGCCATCAGATCTATCAAATTCCTCTAGTGAAATTTTACCATTAACTTCAGTGGCCATGCTTGCAAAACTCACATTGCTGATTTTTTCAGTGAATTCACTCCCCTTCTCTAACAGCACAATTCTCCTCCTCCTCCTCCTCCTCATCCATCAGATCACCCTCTCTTCTATTTAGTAAGCCAGTAAGAGTGACATTAACACCACTTAATTTAGGGTCATGGTACGATGTAAGGTATTAGATTCTCAATTCTTTTTAGCTTTCAGTTGATGTGATAATGATTCATTGGAGCCAGACAAGTGAAATTCGATATTAACAGATCATCAGCATACCCACATATTATGTGTGAAATATTGCCTGCTATTAATTACAGATGTGGAAATGGTGTGATACTTTGATGTTATATTAAGAAAAAATTTGATGTAGACGGGATCTGTATATAGATATTCTCCATAAATGTGTAATAAAACTAACAATAATAATACTAGTAAGAGCAATCATATTAGAATCAGTAGTATGAGGGTAAGTCAGTAAGTAAGTTACAAATGGATATAGAACTTAAACAAATAAGAGTACTGATTTGAAAAATGCTTTTATTTCTCAACATAATCTCCCTGTACATTGAGGCACTTGTCCCACCGTTTCACAAGCCCCTGAAAACCAGCAGCATAACATTCTTTGGGCTGGTGTTGGAACCGGGCAGTGACTTCCCTTTCAGCAGCTTCATTGTCGGGAAAATGTTCAGCCGAAAGATGATATTTAAGAGGGCCGAAAAAATGAAAGTCACTTGGAGCATTATGCATTATGAGGTAGGCCATGCTGTGTGAACAACCAATAGTAGTGGCTGTATAGTGTCTATAGTTACCCTTCTGTCTGCTCAGATTAAGTCTTCAACCCGTTGCGCATTCGCCTCTATGGCAATCTCCGTTGGCCGGCCGACGCATTGTTCATCTTCGATATGTGTCCGCCCTGCAGAGAACTTCTGCACCCAATTGTAAACAGCTTGACGTGACAGGCACTTCTGACCGAAGATTGGAAGCATTTCTTTATGAATATTCTTTCATTCCATACCTTTTGCCCACAAAAATTGCACAATGGAGCGCTGCTCAAGGGTTGTACACTCACTCAGAGGTGCCACCAGCTTGCAACTGCTGTTTCGCTTTTGTAAACATCGATTGTCTCATCTCATCAATTGCCACTGGACTAATGCTGCCATCTAGTGGCAATAGCCTCAAGTGCCTCATTCAAACAAGTAGTGCCCCACATCAATTTGTAACTTACTTATTGACTCACCTACGTATTAGAAATCTTATACAGTAGGAGGCTTTATGAGGTCTGCTTGGAACTCCTTGTTGTATCTGAATATTGTTCTTAACTACAGCAATTTCTTGCTGACCATGGATATTATATGTCTCAAACACCACAGTTGGAAATACCAAGGGCTTGAGTGAATTTGGAGTTAGAAACTGCAGCCTCTGTTAATGCCCATTGAAGCCTAATGGAATTGCTTGTTCTTTCACAAAATACAAAAATATTTAGGTATAATGTGTTTAAAAATATTAGATTCTCAGGTATCATTTTCTTTATTTACTCTTAATACAGTAGATTAATGGGAGTTGAAGTGAATGATAACCACAGCATTTGTGATGGTGACAGTCACTCTTGTACTGCAAATATTTTCTGTGTGTACACAAACAAAAAAGTGTGGATATGTAAACCCAAATTCTGTGATTATCAAAACAAAGTAGAAGTGGAAAACTGCAGATACGAAGTTCACTGTTTGAACTGCACTTGGTGAGGGAATGTTGTATTAATCTGTATCTGTTGAAGTTTATTAATACAGTGATTTATTATTTACACTGCAGGGTACAATTGTGTCCATCTTCAATGAGGATACATCACTTGGTAAGAAATATGTATTTGATATCCGACGTACTTGCCGTGAAGTATATGACAATGCAAGGCGTGCTTCATATCGGAATTCTGGAAATGTTGGGATGTCTCAGATTTTTCCTTCAACCTCTGACGTTAATTCTGCCAATATTTCTACTGAAGGAAGAAGTCAGAATGAGAATGGTGAGAGAGTCATCAGCAGTGGCTGTGTAGATGAACAGTGCAAGGTATGTTCCAGTAGAATGAAACTGAGTCATTATGCATGAACTAATTCCATAAAGCAGAGAACCTAATAATCACAGTGTTGGTGAAGTAATGGAACTTGGGGGCTCATTGCCATGTTCACAAGATCCTGCCTGTGGACCCTATCCTAAAAGAGATAAATCCAGTCCACAGCCTTGCACCCCTTTCATCTAAAATCTGTGTAGTATTATCTTTTCGTTTATATGTAGTTCTCCTAAGTGTTGTGTTACCTTAAACTCTTCCAGCTTCACTTTTGTACACACTTCTTATCTGTCCCATGTTGTGGTGTTGGTCTCCTGAACTCATGTGAACATTACTCAAAATTCTCTTATTCTTATGAATGATTAAATGAAGGTTTCTCACACCTGACTTTGTAGGTATACTTGTATAGAAATGTATATTTAATTAAGTTATAATTGATTCTTCTGCTGTAGTGTTTTATTCTCCATCATAATAGGTAAATTTGTAATAAAACAAATGTTTTAGTTCCAGTGAAAGACTGCAATCAAGAAAAGAGAAACAAAAGTCATGATTGATTAATTAGTCAGATTAATTTTATTATCTTAATGTACCATTGTACTACAGCAAGACTTAGAAGTACATATTAGAAAATTTGTATACATCTGTCTCTTTTATATGTGTAATAACAGTGTATAGTGAAGTCTTTAAATTTATTGTTTATTCATTCAGCATTCAGTTTTGACTTCTTGCTAGTTTGAATAAGTATCAGGCAACAGTGAATAACTGCTCACAAATTTAATGTTTATTTATTATAAGGGAAAAATTCATCATAGTCTTATTCAGTTTATTTGAAATTACAGAATGTCACTTCCTATAATACATTATATACTTTTCCTTTCTTATAAGTAATTTTAAGAGTGGATGTCAGCATTCATGTATAATTCCTTCTGCCGACATTCATGTTAAGTGTATACTGTTTACATTTACAAGCTTGATTTTTTCTGAGCTTGTACTAATTGTGCATTAGTCATTCTAGAATAAGAATATAGCCAACACTGAAAATTCATATGTAAGGATAATTTTACTAAAGGGATGTGTGGAGAGTTCAGAATTTTGTGCCAAATCAAGTTAAAGATAAGAAATGATGAAAGACATACTGCATCGTATATAAGTAGTACAGTCAGTCATTTTGTGGATTAGCCGCATAGTGCCACTGTTATGCACTACAGTGGATACGTGGAGCCACGAGATGGTGCTGTTTCCATTTTCTCTTGTCCCAGCAAGAAGAAGTTGTGTGCATGTAGTGTATTCAGAAAGAAAGTCACTGTTGTGAAGGGTAGTTGTGTGCAAGTGGCAGAAATTGAGAATGTCTCAGTCTGAGAAATGGGCAAACGTCAAGTTCTGCCAAAAATTAGACACATTCACATGATCAGGCAAGTGTACAGTGAAGAAGCCGTGGGCTGTAGTGCTGTGTTTAAGTGGCACAAACGTTTTGCACAGGGGGGAGACAGTTTGGAAGATGATGAACACACTGGTCGGCCAGGAATGGTCAAAACTGAACTCAAGATCCAAGAAGTTGCAGCATTGGTACTTGGCAACCGCTCCCAAATGTTAGATGAAATCGCAGCAACAGGGATTAGCCATAGTACTTGCCGCAGAATTCTGTCTGATGGTCTGAACATGTCTCATGTTACCCAGCACAGTGTTCCACGCATCCTGATGCAAGACCATTGTGATGACAGCATGAGCATTTGCGGTGGTCTGATCGATAGTGCTATACCAACGTTGGCAGACTTGCATGGTGTTCTGTGGTGACTGTTTTGAGGGAGGATGTGTCTATGTGTAAATGCATGCGAGTATCTTATAATGATGCAAAAAAACCACAGTCCACAAAATTATTGACTATAGAAGTATTGTAAGGTGCGTTTTCTATATGGCACATTCTTATGAATTTTTCACATTGGTGGGTGAAATCAGTAATGAAAACTCTGTCTTAATATTAGCTTCTTTCATGTTGAACAGTAAAAATTATTTATATTGAAAATTTGGGGAATCCTGTTTGCCATTCAATAAAGAATATTTTGTCCTCCAGTTTACCGTTTAAAAAGGTAAAGATAATATATACAGAACTATTATTTTTACCTTATACATGTCCCACCAATTTGGTTATCTTGTATTAGGCCTACTCAGGCATGTGGCTGGAATGGTGTTCGATGTTGGATCTCCGGTGCACAGTTAATGGACAGGAGTGGGTTATGCGTTGTAAGCTGGATGATTGTGTATATTGACTGCCAGCACCAAAGGAAGGGCTCCTGCTTGTGGGATGAGGGTAGAATGGTATGACTTTATGTAAGGATGCAGCTTGCTCTGATATCTGGGGGTGGATTAGCAATGAGGGATGGATCTAGGGTGCAGCTATCTAGGGATAGTTTTACCTTTTTTTATGGGATGGTGAAAGAAGCATATGAAATTAAGTGTAAATGCAAAGTGTATAAAATGTTACATGATACAAACTCCGTCTTCAGTGCAAACCACATATTATAGGTCTTTCGTTTTGCTCTCCTTTACACACTACATGTTTCGGCCACAAATGGTCATCATCAGGTGTATTACTTACATATCTGTCACACTGCATTTAGTTTAACATTTAAAATTAAAAAACACAGGTCTTCCTGATTGTTCCTTTTGTCGTTATTACCAAAACCTACTTCGTTGATGTCTTTGTTATTTACACACGTCAATTTTGATTTCTCTGAATTTGCACTTATAAAATCTTCAGTTCTAATTTTAAAATCCTTTCAATTTTCCTCTAAATTTTAAATTTAAAATTGTTAGGGTTACTCGCCCTATGTCTATAGTGCTGCAGCAGCTACTTCTTGTTTCTAGTACTGTACCAGTGTTATTCTGTGTAGTCTCTCTGTGTGCGTGCCGCTGCTTGTCTTTACTACTTTACTACTAATATTGTATAAAATGTAATATAATGTGTTCAAGTTATATTTAACATACGTAAGTGCATATAGCCAAACAGTTGATAAGGTAAAGTAAGTAAAGGTATCCCCATAACAGGCTGTGGAGGCCCACATTTTCTAGGCAGTCGGCTCATAGATGGTGGTAAGGTTGTCAGCCTTACGCGCCAGCCACCCTTTACCACTCAGGAAGATTTCTGTTATAGGCTGAGTCGACCCCAGGGCCATAGTGCGGCTGGAAGGATTAGGTAAATTGAAAAAATCCTAAGGTAAAAAGGTAAAGTCCCTCTGCTTAATTAATTAATTACCCTTCCATGAAAGAATGAGGATGTGCATGTATAGATCCGCATATTCTTGACCTTGGCACTAATTGGAGGTGAGTGGTCAGGCTGCTTTACCATCAGGGAAAGAGTCCACACTACCAATAGGATTGGAAGTAGAGTGGGCTCCAGAACCAGTTTGGATGACGTGGAGGGGAGTAAAATCTTGCCTCTATTGGGACTCGAACTCAACCCCTTGACCATCCAGCCCATAGCCAGTAGCTATGCTGACTGCACTATCTTTGCTTGAAAAATAATATTTTGTGTATGTACAGCCAGTCTCATAGAAGGTAGGCTAGTAATGGGTAGTGGCTGAATGAAAACTGTGATAGCAATTAAAATATTTGTACTTTGCAGTCTACACAGGCACGACTGGCAAGGCTGCTGGAAGCTATGTCATGCCGCATTTGCATGGACCGAGCCATTGATACTGCATTCTTCCCTTGTGCACATGTGATGGCATGTGGTGAGTGTGGCGCAAGGTGTGACAGATGCCCACTTTGCAGAGCACCAATTCAGCATTCACAGCACATCTTTTTGCCTATTGAACTACAAGATACTGATAGTTTGCTGCAGCAGCATAAAGATTCCAGACAGCCTAAGGAGGAATTTGAGGGCTGTGATGATGATGATGATTTTCATGAAGAATTTCAGAACCGTTCACCTCAGTCACACCAACAGCACTGGCAATACAGAAATGACCTGAGTCAGCGTGAGGGACACATAATCGGAGTAAATCAGGTAAACAGTGGAACTGACCATATGCTTTACCAAATGGAGCAAGTGAACCAAAGTCAAGAAAACTGTATGATTGCTGATAGCTAAAACTTTGTAAAAATCTTGCACTGAACTGTGAAACATCAGGATAAAGCTATATTCATAGTTTGTCAACAGAAACACAATTGGGATGATTGTCTCTTGATTGTGTAATGTTTTATAAAAAATTTTGTGAATGGTTCTAGAGCACAGTGCATCTAATTGGTCTCAGATAGTTCTGCTTGTGACTGAATAATTATGGAAAGGTGGCTTACTGTTTGTAACCTTTTTTTAAAATTATACTAGCATTTTTGTTTATTGTCCATAATGTATGTTAGTTGGACTGTAAGATGCAGTATTCTTTTACACGGGTTATATTCTTCACAGATTGATGTTAAAGTATATAAGCATAATGGATTCACATACATTTTTGTTACAAAATCGATTTCTATGGTAAAATCATTCTCACTTGGCTGCTGTTCTTTCATAATGAAATAAGGACATTTTTTATAATGTTACTAAAGGTCTTATTTTACTGACTTAAATCCACCAAAGAAACAGTTGATTTATAGTACTCTGTGTTATAATTGATGGATCTTGAAGATTTGATTCTCTTAGGATATTTTCTTTTACCTTATCATCATACAATTTTAAAATGGATCTTAAATAGGATGGAGTTGTGTGGATTGGTTTCACCTGGCTCAGGATAGAGACCAGTTGTGAACATGGTAATGAATCTGTGGGTTCCATTAAATGTTGGGAAATTTTTGAGTAGCAGAGCAACTGGCGACTTCTTGAGGACTCAGCTACATGGAGTTAGTTTAGTAAAAACTATTGGCTTGATCTATTGATAATTGGAATTTGCCAGCAGGCATATTCTGGTTTTTAAATAGCAGATTCAGCTTGCATACCATGCCATAAATGGTTGTTACATAATGATATTAACACATTTTCTGTCAGTTTTGATATCCAGGATTGCCATTCCGTCCTTAAGCCTGGTCTAGAGATTTCAATGATTAACACATGCCACTCTTCAGCATTCATCCATGTCATTTGTGCATGTATATGTGCTGATGGCTGTCTGTCCTAGTCTGGCATACTTCAAGGAGTGTGCAGTTGTGTCACCTTGTCATATTATAAGGTCTAAACATCAAATGTTTTTTGTATAGATTTCAGACATTTGGGGTAAAATAACCAGCTGACAGGGACTGAAGTGAAGTGGACAAACTGTGTGTATGGGGGGGGGATTTCTTTCAGCACTTTCAGTGTGTAGACGAAATGTACGAAATTGAGAGATGATTGATGAATAATGAATTGTAAAGAGTTTGGAAGGAAGCAATCATGGCCTAATCTGTTACACAGTAGTTATGAAGTGAGGCTAACTGCATGCAAGTGGCAAGTCATATTGGGAAGTGAGTCAGCAACATTTGGTAACTTCCAGGAGGGTCCTGTGATATGGAACTATCCCTCCAGTCTCTGTACTTCTGAATCTGATATCTGGCAGATATAGTCAGTGAAATAAACCATAATATAAAGTATGTTTCTTTCTTCACTTATGACAAAAACAATATTTGCACCACATCTGGGAAAAGGAAATTATCTGTACAATATATTTCATATGGAGGAATTTAAAATAAGCAGTTGTGTAAAAGTTATGTATTTGTCCCGTTAATAGAATTTTATTTTACGAGGCTCACTTCAGTGTCACTGACTGTGGTGAAACTTTGAAAACAAGGGAAATTAAATGTATACTTATAAATTTTTGTGAGTTGAAGCCTTCATAGCAACATTTATGAATCATCTAGCAGCTTCTTCCTTGTTCTATGGACCACATTGATGTGACTGAAAGTAAAAACAGGTTTGGAACATTGTCTCTTGAACCCTTGGGCAGTGAATGGTGTTTTAAATAAGTCAAAGGAAATCTCAATGTAATTATACATTAGTATTCATAACATGGCCAGACATTCTGTGACAAAAGAACAATAATTATACATGATTAAAAAATTATTTTGATTATAGAGAAATGTACTATTAAGTTTTGTAAAACTCTGACATGTCATGGAATTTTGAGTGCTTTAGTATGGGGTCTGTGAAAGTAACAAAAAAGACATATTTGTTGAATTGAAACCATTATACAGTTGTAGTGTGTATCTCATATGCTTTAAACAAGAACTCTTTTATGAATGTACAATAATATGTTAACTGCTGATGGAAATGCAGAGCATACACAATGCAAGAACTGCTTTAGTCATTAACAATGCAAGAAATATATAACTATATGTAATATAATGTAATGTTTTGCTATGAATTGAGGTTTTATGTTCTTTTATAATACAATGTAAGTTCAAGGTTAAATTTTAAAGTACCAAAAGGTGACAAGAGTATTTTCCAAGTATTTGCAGATTTTAAAAGAAAGTATTAATATAATGCTGTAAGTTTGTGTACATTGGTAATAACTATGTGAAACAAATATTTGAGTTATATGAATCAGTATGAATAGAGATATTCATTTTTCAGCCATTTTGTTTCCTATAAGATGAAGCTTTATCACTGATTTGTGTATGTGTACATGATCATGCCTGTATACAGGCAGAAAAAAAATGTGTTCTTGTGATACCTTGAAATATGACATTAAAGTTACATTTTTATAATACTACTCATGTTTCTTGATAACCATTTCTGTTCACTGAATCTCTTAACATATCGCCACATTTGTGAGGGATACATTCCTGAGATGATCATGAATAAGGGCATGGATTCTGATTATATATGCATGCACACACACAAGGGGTATTAAATAAATAAATAAATAAATAATAATCCAGCCATGTTACACTCCTTTTCATTACTTCACCACAGGTGTCCAAAAAAACAAGGAACAATGAAGTAGCCCTGTTATTTCTTCACATATCAGAGAAATAGAGGCATTTGTCTCACTGATGATAATGTGCTTAGTTTCAGAGGAGAATGACTTAAGGCTCTTGTGTTAGTGGCCTCCATAGTCTAGAGGTAACGTTCCCACCTCATGACTCATAGTACGCGGGTTCAAATACCCGGCGGAGGTTGTCGAATTTTTAAGGGCGGAAAAATTCAAGGAACAAGTCCTCCAGGAGGGACTTTAAGCTGTGGGTCCCGTGTCGCAGCTTTACGGCACGTAAAAGAACCTCATATCTCCAAAGGAGATCACTGAGCCAAATTATGGACGTTTCCCGCCCAACAGCAGTCTCTAATACCTCTGGTAGATGGGGGAAGCATTATAGATACCTCTCAGCTAGTAGAGCCGGTCTCACTGGCTGGGCGGGACTGATGGTAAGCACCAGTACCGGTAAGATATAGAGACTGGTAGAAATCATAGAGGGAAGCACAATGGACCAATACAGGTCTAAGTGCATGGGGAAACCCACCCTCTCCACTAACTAACTAACTAACTAAGGCTCTGTGTTTGCTTCATCTAGATTGCTTTTTTCATGTTCTACAGTGTTAGACAATAGTGGTATGGATTCACTGCTGCACCATAGGCCAGGAACTGAAGGAGAGAGCCCTGTGTGTCCCATCTATCAGCACTTTCTCGCAGGCTGCTGGGAATGTCATGGCTATCCAGACTGGACCATGCACCTGTCATCTTTCACTTCTCTAGATCATTGAAGGAACATTCAGAAGAAAACACTTCTAACATGCTTATAAGATGAAAGTTGAGGTGCACCCATGGGAGCAATATATCTTTGGATGATTCTTATTGAACGGCCTATATCTTTACCCTATTAATAAATAATTTTTTCCATTCATTTTACACTTTTGGTTATACTGTAATAGATGCATTCAAAGAGCAAGAATCTTTGCAAGCTGAATGAGAGAGAGAGAGAGAGCAAATTAGCAGATTGCTTTTGTATCTTGTGTCTTCCTCACTCTACTACCTGCTTGACCCTATGTACATTCAATAAATGAGAGAAATATTAGTTCTTTCACTCATTCAAAATATTGTGGGAATTTGCAAGCAGATCATTCTCATTCTTCACTAAGTTATGTCTAGGCTGGTAACCCCTCTTAAATTCATTTAACCCTCTATACAGGCCTCTAATGTTTTTGTTTTTACTGTTCATTGCAAGCTCATTAATTTTGCCTTTCAGATATTCCTGCTTTTTTATTCCTGAAATGCCTCCTGACTTCAGATCTTATATTGTATGGATTATCTTCATTTATTTTGCTTGGATCCTGTAACCACTGCAGTTTGGTTTATTTCCTTTGTTCTAATAATTCTGAGCATCCCTCATTGAACCAAGGCTTATGCCTCCTCATAACTTAGACCCTCTTTGACTGAAATTTTGATATTCTCTCTAATACTTCACCAAGTGTTATTAATATCCACCTCAGTGTCTAAGTTTTCTAAAGCTGCAAACCTATATGAGACTTCAACACAATACTGCTCTTTACCCTATACTTCTTTCAGTTTCTTGAGATGAACCTCTCCATATAAAATCTGTGTGTTGTTCTGACATTGCCAATCTCTCCCTAAATGTTGCATTCACCAGATTGTGGTCAGTATCACCATCTGTTCTCCTGAATGATTGGGCATCAAGTAGACTTGAATGCCATCTCCTCTCTATTAAAATATGGTCAATTTGATTGTTAGTCTTTACATCAGATGTCCAAATATATTAAAGAATGTTATAATGTGATAACATTGTAATTCTGACAGTCAGGTTTTTGGATGTGGCAAAGTTTAGTATTCTTACTCCATTACCATTACTAATTTTGTATAAACTCTCATTCCCAATTGTTGGATTGAAAATGTCCTCCCTATATACTTTGGCACAGCACAAAATTTTCATATGGTATTTACAGAATTTACTGAATACATGTTCTAGTTCTTTGCAGAACCTGTTGTTCATATTGTAACGTGTCGGCAAACCCGAGGAGTAACTTCTATGGAAACGCTACAATAGACCGTTACAATATCGTCAATTTTATCTTCTGTTGGGGCATGAACATCCAGGACAACATCACACCAGCGACATCTTAGTATTATGTACAACATCCTATCTCTAACAAACTCTACTGTCAGTAACAAATCAGAATTTGACTCAGGAGGAAATTAAGTAGACAAAGAATTCAGTTAATGCTTGCTACCGTTATATCTAGAAACTTTCTTCTTGTCTGTCTTAAAAACGTAAAAATTAGAATATACAAAACTATAATTTTGCCTGCGGTTCTGAATGGGCATGAAATTTGCTCTCTGACATTAAGAGAGGAACACACACCAAGAATGTTTGGACCAAAGATGGAGTGGAGAAAACTGCATGAGGAGCTTCATAACTTGTACTCTTTGCCAAGGGTAATTACAATGCTCAAATATGTGAGATGGGCTAGACATGTAACATGCACATGCTGAAGAGGAATACATGTAGGATTTTTACGGGTATACTAGAAAGGAGACCAGTAGAACGACCTAGATGGTGGGATAGAATTGGGTGGTATGAACTGCACTGAGCTGGCTCAAGATAGGGATCAGTGAAACACTATTGTGAATATAGCAATGAACCGTCGAGTTTCATGGGATGTTCGGAAATTCTTGAGTAGCTGGGCAACTGGCGGCTTCTCATGGGCTTACGCCATTTAATTCCTAAATCCATATACGCAAATAATAAAGCACCAGTGCCAGTACACAACTTCTCTTGGCGATCAAGCAAGACTTCGCACTCCATTTCCTGCACTTTTACTGTCGAAACAAATACTTCAGCCTGTGTCAATATACACTGCTTGTTTATGCGCAATGTACGTTCATGCTCATGAACATATTATGGCGGCTTAGGGTTTTAAGAACATAACACTTTTGTCGGCAAGGCCGCTAAATGTTCCCAGCAATATGCACCATATATTTAATATATATATATATGTTCCTATATTTAATTGAAGAGCTATTAACTATGAAACCTGACTTTAAAACACTCCCATTTGTTTTTGTGTGCACAACTACCGTCATAAACCTCCATGAAGTGCATTATGGGAGTAAAATTCTATTAATTTCTAACATGGCAGTGTTGTAAGTGGATTTACGGCCTGTGAAATTGAAATATTATTGAGTCTTTTTTTGCATTTAATGCAGCTGCATAACTCCATAATGCATGAGTTTCAGTACGGTAGTTATTAATCTAATCGCGTTCGCCACTACTTTAAGGATATTCATGTTTAACCAACTCAAACCAGACAGTTCGCTGTTGCGTGAACGTATGGCACACTCTGGTTAAGATAACGACGATCATGGGAGAGTATCGAAAGTCGAAAGTGCTGTTTTTACTTTGTGGCTCAGAGGAGTGGGAACTCTGTTATATGTGCACCGATGGACTGAAGCGTACGTAAGATATAATATGCTGTATGTTGAATATACGTGTAGTCTAAGTTTTAGGACTATATGTAACATACCAGTCGGGATGGTGTTATGTCATGAACACACCTCATTTGAAGTACTTATCAGTCATTTTAACAGTAAACACTTCTGTTTCGTTCCTGGGTGTCGGCCACAAATTCCCAAGACACAGCCGTTTACTCGTGTAGAATGTAATTACTGAATTTGCACTGTCGTGGTAGTGTGGAAGAGTGATTGGTAGGCATTTCCATTAATAATCATCGTCTTTCAGCTCATTATTATTGTTTAAAAGGCAGTAGATGTAATAAACTTGAGCTGAAAGCATCAAAACTGCCGTCTCAAGTGTGCCATTGTTTAGTTATGTACATCAAGAAAGAGCCAGGAAATATGGAAGCAACATTTCAGCCTCCACCTGTGGTCTCCAGTGTTGGACTGGATGGACAACAAAGTCCTCGCTCAGTGTGTTTTGTGTGTGGAAATGTGGGACATCCCGATCAGTACTGGTTACGAGTAAAGCCAAGCTCAAGTACCTCTGGAGGACCCAGTGAAGCGTACTTCCCATTTCTGGAATCCCATGAACCACCAGCTTGTTACAGACTGGATACTGATTCTGCACCAACAGCTGTACGAGCATGTTACCTGTGTTACTCCCTCCTCATGCAGCAGTGGGACTGCTATGAACGTGATGCTACACCTCATCCTAGGTATGAACACAGTTGCAGCTACTTCAAAATTCTGTAAAACAGATTTATTAAGTGTTGTATATAATTATGTAGCAAAATCTTCTTAAAATTAAACATGGCCAAACTGTAGGATTCCTTGAAGTGGAATACACATTTGTGTTCTCCAAATGTCAAGTAGGAAGTATGTGTTTGATAATGAAAATTGGATAACAGGGAAGATTAGCATGGCCTTCAGATATTATGTTTTAGAAGGGTTTTGCTCTGTTTATGATTAGTTTCTGTCCTCTGTCACTGCAATTCCACAGACATGCTGTCAGATTATCATCATTGTCATCATCTCCTGTATCTTGGGCCTAGCGCCTTGTTATGGTCTCTTACCATTGTGTATAGTGTCTCCCCAAAGAGCTTCATCCATTTGGCTCATACGTGAGAATTCTGAATTGGATTCTTGAGTGGGCCATTTGAAGAACACGTTTTTTCCATTTCACTGTATTTTTTTATTATTTCAGTATTTGTATATTTAATTCCAGTGTGTGTGAATTTATCTTCTAATTATTATCAGCATGATCACCATCACAGTGGTAAAATAATACTGGGCAAAGAAAATACCTGTATCAGATGTGTATGTAATTGAGAAAATAAGAAAACTGTAGTTTCTTGCAAGTTATAGCATGTATTATTACAGTATGATAACCAGTTATGCCTTTTGCTTACATAGTATTGTGATATTGTTACACCACACATCCACAAATGTTTGTATATGCTTCCTGTACAGTAACAACCACCTCTCTTGTGTAGTTGTCAGAGTTTCTCCCTACAGATCCAGAGGTCCCAGGTTCAATTCCTGGCACTACCAGATTTTCTGAGAAGTAGTGGGTCTGGAATGGGGTCCACTCAGCCTTGTGAGGATCATTGAGGAGCTACTTCAAGGAAATAGAGGCTCTGTTCTAGAAAACCGAGATTAACAGCTCTGGAGATCTGTAACGCTGACCACGTGACACCCTTATCTGCTAAAGTTCGGACTAACTTCATTGACAAGCGGTGGTCGTTCTGTTGGTATGGTTTGCTTGGGGGCTACAGGCCATGGAATTTACTTTGCAGTAACCACACTGTTATTGATAGATGTCTGTAGTTGCACCAGTGAAGTTGATTTTTTTTTTATTTGGACACGTTTCTCTAACAGATTTAGATTTGATGACAGGTTTTATTATGTTAAGCAAGTTTAATTTATTTTGCACTATGTTTTTATTGCGGTCATACCAGAAATTAAGTATGATGGCAGGTAATTGATGGTTCATCACACCCTGCAAGATGGTTATAATTTTATAATGCCATAAAATTTGCTTCAGCTGCAATGACCAAAGTCTTGATGCTACATGCTCAGCAGTGTTTTTTATGACTTGTTAACACCATACACAGACCCACTGTTCCTTGCCTCTTGAAAGAATTAAACCATTAAAAACCAAATCTTTAGCTTTTCTTTGGAGAACATGATACTGGGGTCTTCGGTATTCCATTTTTAAAAACAGTAAAATGTGTGGAAATTGGAATGGAAGAGCCACCTAAAGCATTAGTCATGCAAAATATTATTATGCTGTGAAAAGCATGAAAGATAGATTTTAAGTAATTTTGATTGGTTTGACTGTCATGTGTGGAAATCCTTTCTAATGGATATTGTGCGTTGGTATATATAGTTATACAAAATTTGGTTAACTGTGTTGTACCATGAGTAGTTCTGGCTTGTGGGATGTAACACCATGTAGTCCAGTGAAAGTCTGTTGATGTTTCAGAGGAGCAGATTGCTTCCATCTTCAGAGTTGAAGAATAAGCCAAGCAAGCAGCCAGCAAGAAAAGAGATATTTAATTTTTTTTAAGTTTCTTATCTGAGTTTCATAGCTTTCACTATTTTTTAAAGCAGAATGGTGTCCAGGGGGTGGGGTGGGGTATAAAGCGAAAGCTCTAAATAAACTAGGACTGTCCAACTTCAAACCATCAAGAGACCACATTATATACCTTAGGTACCAACCTGCAAGCCACATTACAGAAAAGATATTTTTCTTTCAGTTTACTGGTACAAATCTCAGCCCAGCAGTGATCTGTGAGACACAACCATTTGAACAAGAATTGGACCCATAAAAGTAAAAACATGTATTGAAACTAAATGTTGGTAGGCTGATAGTGCATAAAAATTGGCTGCTAAAGTTTTACTAGCTTGTTTTAGTATTGCATACTATCATATAGTCATATTAATGCCATACTTTTTTTTTCCTGGCACTACAGCCCCAGTGGGCCTAGGCCTACCTCCATGAACTTCTCCGTTCACTTCGGTTTTTCTAGATCTTACACATATGGTAGGACTCCTTGGGCGAGTGATCAGCTCGTCGCAAGGCCTCTACCTGTAGACAAACACAGAAAAACGCACACAAACATCCATGCCCTGAGTGGGATTCAAACCCACGATCTTGGCTTCCGAGCAAGCGAAGACAGTGCATGCCCTAGACCACTCGGCTACCGTGACCGGCAGTTCCACACTTTACTAAGTTATTTGTTAGGTGTCATGTGTACTCATTTGAAGATTTTGATGGAGTATTTAGTAAATATTTTTCAAAAAGTTATTATTTGTGTGTGGAAGGGGGGGACAAAATTTTCTGCCCCTTTCTGTATTTAAGCATCTTGTTGCAAGCCATATTGAAACATCTGTGTATAACACAGTCTATCAGTAATGCAACAAATTGTTCCCTTTTTCTTCCACTTACACTTTTAACACAACATTTTTTGGCCCTAGATGGCCATCTTCAGGTGTCTTAATATATTAAAACTGCTACACTGCATTAATATGTGCTAAAATCACACACTGTAGTCTGCTTAATGTAATAAAATGAAATAAAATCCATTAAAATTTTCATTACTTGTGAAATTTTATTTTACCTCAGAAGGGGTAGCTCCACTTGTTTTGAACTATATGTTTATCTCTAGGTGTTTTATTGCACCTGGAGATAAATATATAGTTCAAATCAAGTGGAGGACAGCCCTTGTGAGGTGAAATAGAATTTCACAGAGGTAATGAAAATTTTAATGGATTTTATTTTATTTTATTACATTAAGCAGACTACAGTGTGTGATTTTAATACATATTAATGCAGTGTAGCAGTTTTAATATATTAAGACACCTGAAGATGGCCATCTAGGGCTGAAACATGTTGTGTTAAAAGTGTAAGTGGAAGAAGAAGGGAATAATTTGTTGCATTATTGATGGACTGTGTTATACATAGATGTTTTGCTGCTTCATTTTTGAGGTGGAAGGCTTTAAGATATATTTTGGGGAATGTTCTCACTCTCTGCATTCATGTTGTTAGCTTCTCAGACCTTGAATGGACCAACCCCACACTCCCTTGGCCTGTCCTTCATACCCTAAGGCCAGACTGCAAAATTATTAAAGAAGGCTATTAAGGAGCGTATTGCTGGAGGTTTGAGGACAGACAGTGATTTCTCGAATCGATCTGCCATTTTTTCATTTATAATATTTGCAGTTATAGAGCAGAATGAAATTGAATTGCTGGAGTAGTAGGCAGATATTGAAAATCCATCATCCATCTTCTTCACATGGCAATTTTGAATCCTGATTTGGAAAAGTTGACTGGAATTCAGTTTAGATTCAACATTAGTTCATGTTCCAAGTTACTGTTTTCTCATTACAGAAGGGAAACTGCAATCAGATATGTCTCTCTGAATTTCTGATCCCTTAAAATAATGTATGTGATAATTCTTGCACTATTTTCAGGATACCAGACACTTACTGCTGTGTTTTGTGTTATTCTTTTAGTGCTCTTAGACTTGTAGAGAGATTCGCTTGGGGGAGGGGGGTGGAGTCCAACTGGGTCCACTTGGCACGGTGGCCACTGATTGGCCTCTTGTAACCCGCCCCGGGTGATTATGATGATGGAGAATTTGGTGGAATGAAGATTGGCAGGGGAAACCGAAGTACTCAGAAAAAACCCGCCCCAGTGCCACTTTGTCCACCACAAATCCCACTTGTCCAGACCCGCCGTCGTGGGAAGCCAGCGACTAACCGTTTGAGCTATGGCACCGCCTGCAGAGAGCTTACTGCAGTTATTGGGACAGCTTTGAATTATTGTGTCCGTGTACTTGAGCCCCTTTTGTCTGCTTCCACAACATGTCAGTCATTACTATCTGTTTTGCAGAATTGGTGTTTGTGCTTACAAACTTCTTCACTGTGCACATACTAGACAATTAAAAGTGCAACATGAATTGAACATTGTAGGGTTTGAGGTTCTCATAGTGGTATCGTGAAGAGTTCCATCTTCTGGGATATAATGTCATATGGTCCGTCGAAAGTTGACTGACGCTTCCTCTTGCTGCCTGCTTGATGCTGCTTTCTTGTGTGGCTTATTCATGCCTGATCATGTAACAGTTCTGTTAGGTCCATGAGTATTGACTCTCATGAAATTTGTTAGAGAGAGGCAAATTAACACACCTTGCCTCTAGAAAATAATAAACTGTGTGTGTCAAGTTTAATCAGATTCTGTTAAAAATTACTAAAAAGAATGTATATAAAGTTTATTTAGGCCCTTAGTAAAATAACCCCCCCCCCAAGAAAAATTAAATTGCCTGAAAATTAAGATTGTAAAACAAACTTAATGCGGATATTAATATATTGTTACGTGTTGGGTGCATAACGCGACAAACAATTTCACACCGTATTTGATATAGCAACTTTATTCCACTTGCTCTTACAATCACACAATTTACAATCTGATAATTACTGCCATTGGCAGTATCACAAATACTCCGACAAAAGATAGACAGCTATTGGCTGGTTAACTGACTCACTGCTGGCTAATTCGTAACTCGTAACTGCTGCCTTGAGAACTGTCTTTGGCAGCTGTGTAGTTCCCTTATAAACCCTCAGCCGGACAATTGGAAAACAGTTACATAATAGGCACCACTGTTGTCTGGCGCCATGTTTACAGGTGTTACTGGCAACGCTGTTGGGAGTTGTTTACAGCTGCATAGCAACTGCGGCATCCCTTGGCCATGTCACCGCTGGCGGGGTAGGGGAAGGAGTGTTGACTTGCCTATTACCATAGTAACGACAGCGCTCCGATGGTGTTACGTCACCACTGGTGGTGGGGAGGGGTGTCCTGCATAGCACAACATGTCACAATATGTATACCAAGTTTCATATAAGTAGGTCCCAAATTTTGGGCACGTACTTGCAGACAGATGGTCATAATGACACATGAATGCTTGTTTTAACCATTCAAAAGACTTGATTTCTTCCAAATATATAAAAATTCAGTTCATATCTCACAGGGAACGCACTATATCTGCTACAGAGACCAAGCAGTTAATGCTGTGTAGAGAAAGAAAATTGCAGTTGAATGTGAGAACTATGGAGAACACATATATACTTTGTGGGCACACTGCAGAATTTTAGTATGTTAAAGCAGATGGTACATATATCCACCACTGGATCTTAAAGAGTTAATAGTTCTAGTCGCAGTAACAGATCTTTGATATTCTGGCAGGAATTAAAAATGAATTCTTTAATGCCAGTTTGATTGTCTTTAGAAGATGAAAGTTTTGAAGTTAATATACAGTAGAACTGGGTTATAACGTCATCAAAGGGACCTAAAAATAGTGTCGTCATAAACGAATGTCGTTGTAACCGAAATGGGCACTTCCACAGTAGCCTTATGTTAGTCACGTAAAAATCTACCAAAAACCGAGTTAAAATGTTGCATTTTTTAGTGAAATACATAGTTAAGTACAGACTAACGTAACATTAACGTGGAATTGCCCAAATGTGTAATATCAAAGACATATTACAGCGCTTTTCACTGACAATACACACCGCACTAATACTGTATATTAAAGGTAGGCCTACTCACCAAATTACAGTAGATTACATCAATTGTTGTGCCTTAATGTACCTAGATACGAGTACAGTAATCAGTTATCTTCATCTGTTTCCTGTTACTTGCCCAATACACACTTTCAAAATTACTTTCAATGTCCATATCAGAGAAATTCGGGAATGAAAATGACGTTACATATGAGGTTGATGCATTTGTGCATGTCGTACTAAGCAAGGTATAAAAACAGTTGCTTTATGAGGAATTAGTTCGTACCATTGAATATTTGACGCAATAGACAAGGTGTCACAGAAACTGATGTTGCTATAACCAAGTTTTACTGTATATTGCAACTTTATTTTAAGTCCTTGGTATGGTTTGTTGCATTTGAAAGGACAGTGAAGGATGCTGGTACTATTCTTCATTATAAAAATATAGAGCATTGTGAGTGACTTTTATTCATATCTTGTTTATTTCAGTAACCTATACACACATATAATAAAATTAAATGTTTTTTAGACGTCTTTACTGGCTGAAGAGGTGTGACAATGGTCCCTTCACGGGTGCAGAAATGGTTCTACAGGGTGAATATGCTGCTCAAGTTCTAGGTTTGAATGCTGCTGACAGCACCCATAGGTAAGAATTATTTACGAAATTGTAACATGAGGTGTATGAGGAATGATACAAAAGTAACAGTACTATAAAAAACTGATAAAACAAAGGAACTTGCTTTTGCAGGGTTTCTTCAGAAGCTCCCCTTGCTAACTGCTGTAATTATTACATTATACTGTTCAGCTTTTGAATGTAATGCAAGTTCTTTTACAGATAAGTTAAGCAGACTCCAAAATGTGTTCGCAAAATATGAAAATTCGCCAAAAGGAATGCCATAAATTACATTGTTATGTGTACATAACTGTATTTGCATTGAACTGATGCACGTCATTGGCATTGACAACAGTGTGCAAGTGTTCTCCTCACCTTGTCTGTCACGTGACACCATTTTGGATAAATGAATTTTAATAACATTTTATTATATGAGTTGTTATTTATACTTAATTGATAAAGTGTAATTTTCTCCCTTTGATGTTCCCACTTTTATGTGGATCATCAGACAACCAAACCTTTCCATCTATTGCTGTCTTCCCGAAGCTCCATCTCCTCAGTTTCTTTTCATATTCTCTTTTCCTCTTACATGGCATCTTTCATAACTGTTGTTCACATCTTTATTTCAGTTCCCCTCTTAGGCATTTTCCTTCTGTTCTCATGTTCACAGTCTTCTTTGTTTTGTAATCATTGGACAGCATATGTACTACAAATTTATGTGCTAGCCTAAATATTCTCCTCTATATATTGTAAGAATTATTGAGTAGATAACATTGAACACTGTAGCTTTCAGTGAGACATATTTTTTTATTTACATTTGCTTCTTATGAAGCAATCAGTATAGGTTGTGGACCTGGACAGTAAGGGTTTCATTCCTGATACAGTAGCAATTTTTCTACAACTCTTTAATGAACCGTCACAACACAGCAAATAGTAAAACATAAAAGTCAGCATACAGCTGTGGCTTTGCTACATGTTTCAGCCACTATCAGCCATTACTGGGCAAATACATATCAACAAAAATCTACCATTTAACTGCAATCATAAAACAGATATAACATTATTAATCCTACAATTTTAAAATTGCTTATGTAAAAATACAAAAGTTCAGATTATATAAAAATTAAAAATTGGAAGTATTATAACAAGATAAAATATTAATGATCTTTTCAAAAACATTGAATCAGAATTTTTCTCTTTGTTCTCATGTCCAAACCAGCTCTGAGGCCCACCTGGCCTCCTGTTCATTGGGTACTGGGGACGTCTCGTCCAGGGGTATGGCAGTTGGAATGTATGGCTGACTGCTTACCTCAATCTAGGGCTAAAGTTACGAATGTGGGAGTATATCTCAACTGTCTTGTACATTTCTGAGCTGTGGCACTTAATTAAGCACAAAAGCAACTTTACCTTTACATTTTTCTTTGTATTATTGTCTAATACTATACTTGTGATATACCTATAGGTTAATAACATTTAGTACATTCTGTAAACCATGTCTGTGTTCATTTTAAACCACCGTAAAGCAAAAAAAAATGATGTAACAAGAAGCTGTGCTGCAGCTATTGTGAAACTTTATGCCCTGTAAAAATGTCAGACTTCATAGTGTTATGCAGTAGAAAACTGATAGAATGTTTGTCATATTGTAATGTTTCTTGATGTTTGGAGCAGCTGTCCCACTGTCTGTAACCACACACACCCTTGAGGTTACTTCTTTGTGCACTTGTTACTTCACCAGAACACCACTGCTTGTTTACTGCACTTTCCTCTCTTCACTAATCTATCTTGTCACTGAACTGAACTGAACTGAACTGTAAACTGACTTACTACTGACTGACTTGTTAACCAAGTCACTGATAGGCTGCATTGACCGACTGAACCCCGGCAGATTTGCAGCTCACTCATCTACTTCCGCGCTGTGTTTGCTAGCTTCTAATCTGCTGCTCCAAACTAAACTAACTGAACACACGTCTGTGCTATGCTGCAGCTGAATTCACTTTGACGTGCATGAGCTTTTACAGCTACTATTTATAGGCGTGTCACCCTTTGGAAAATTCCTGATGACCACTTGAGTAGCTGCAGTCTTCAATTCCAGCTCAGCTGTTTGCAGGCAGTGTAGAGGGCACAAGGGGGGGGGGCTCAGTATGTCAACTGAACGAGAGGTACACCCAGGCTAGGTGATGCACCTGCCCCTTCTGGGCTTAGACCTTTCGACAGTGTACTGGAAAGATTAATGACCAGAGATGTGAAGGATCAGTGTGAACTGATACCAGTAGAGAAATTTAGTGATAAATTATAAATCTGATGGGCTGCAGTGTGTATTCAAACGCATGTATTTTGTACTTAATTTATATTGCATTTTTAACGTGACATGGTAAATCATGAAACATCAGGGCTCCAGAAATACACTCACCCACTTACGATGAACATTTTTTCAGAGAAGGGGTGGCATGTGTGCCTTAGTTAAAATGCATAACAATTTTTTGTAAGTAGAGAATGTATTACCATGCGCAAAGCACAGAAATCAATTTAAAGAATATAACATGATCATAACATTTATGATCTTGTTTATTTTTAATGTGTCTTATAAAAATAGGCAAAAATATGTATATATGATACACTGCAATTAACTGTAAACTGGCCTGAGACTGCCATCAGTCCCTAATGAAAGCGCAGAACGTTACATGGGTCGACTGACAAGAGTGCTAGGCCATAGGGAAATTGTGGAAAATGAAGTTGCTGACTAATCGACAAGAGCTGGATCTTAATGTCCATTTATAGGACTTGAACTGGTATGCTTCATCCTGGAAGGAGTAGTTAAGACAGCCATCAGAGACTGGATGAACACAGACAGTATGAAGTTCACAGGGAAGAAGTGCACATGAACTACAGTTGTTTTTATACCACTAACATAAGAGTTAGTTCTAGTACATTCAATAGTCTGCGGTATCATTTATTTTGATGATGTTGTGTGTTACTAAATGGTTATAAAACTAATGATGCAAGCATTTGAAACTTTCCTTGTAACTGTATGAAGATGCCTTGATATGACGTTACACTTAAAATGTGTCTGTGCTTTTGACAGGGTGCATCACTAAAGGGCAACATGATTTATTGTATAATTATATGAACAGTATGCAGTCACTTGAGCTTCACACACTTGCTACAGAGTGTGAACACCAAACATGTGTTTAAAGTAGTAGTATCTGAAACTGAAGAAACATGGACAGAGTTTTATGACTTGTTATTGCAGGTCTTGGTTACTTCACATTTCTTCACTCATTTTTTCATGTTTCATAGAATTTCCGACTTCTGTTGTTATGAAAAGTGCTTTCATTTCTGACACCGTGTCATACCATGTTTAAATACAAATTTATAAATAAACCTAAGGATTTCAGTGCTAACTGAAAACTGTGTTTGAGAACTGAAGGTGTCCTGGTCACATAACAGTTGAAATCTTTGCTGAAATCAGTATATTACTTCCAGTTTTAATAAGCGCAGTTTAAGTCAGTTTATTGTGTTATTTACGTCATCATTAAACTTATTTCTTTTAAGTTTGTTCTCTTATTTTGTTTCTTTATGCAAAGCTGGCATCATCTGAGCTTGCATGTCATTGTAATTGTAATCTTCCTGCTAGGTGTCCAGATATGTTAACATTGTTGATTCTCTTCTTTGTTTCATGCCTGGCACCAGCTGAGTTCATACTTCATTATAATTGTAGTTCTAACTGCTGGGTGCCGAGGTATGTGAAATGTGCATTGTTCGTCTGCTTTTTCTCTTTACATTGCACATATTGTCCATAGTATTTTATGAAGGATGGTGATAAATGACATGGAAGTTACACATTTTGAGGTTTTCACTGCAGTGATTGTTCAGACTTTGGTCTCGTGGGCTGACACTACATGTTCTTGCAGAAGTTACTGACTTTTCAGAGGAACATGCGCCTTTCAGCTTCAGGATCGAAGTATGTAGGGTAGGGAATTCAGTTGGTTATGTAGCCAAGTTGCAAGGAAGTTGGTCAGTCACACTGACAGGAAGGGCAAAGGAAAAGTAGTGCAGTCTGGAACATTGGGTGCAGTGGATATGAAAATGTCGCTTTTTTGGGCCACAGTAAAATTTTCTGTTGAGAAGGAAAATTGACATTACTGTAAATACTGCTCTTCCTATTCTGATGGAAAAACAATACTGTAGGCCCCAAATGGGCTGTCTCTTTTCAATTCCATTTACTTCCTGTGGCAAAAGTAATATTGTATCCCTGATGTGGACTGTTCTCCTACCTACTATTCCTGTTGTCTCTAACCAAACTTGCTCCCTTACCATCTGCCACAGATCTGAGTGACTATCTTCATTACAACCTGACTATATAGGTAATTGAACCAATTCCTCATCCAGTAGGAGCCGGAATAGCATAGTTGGTATAGTGACTGGCTATGGGCTGGACGACTGAGGGGTTGGAGTTTGAATCCCAGTAGGGCCAAGAATTTTCACTTGTCCAATCGTCCAGACCAGCTCTGGGGTTCACCCAACCTATACAATGGTTACTGGGGTCTATTTCCCGGGGGTAAAGCGGCCATGGCGTGAAGCTGACCACTCACCTCCAACTAGTGCTGAGGTCAAGAAAATGTGGATCTGTACATCCACTCCCCCCATATGTCTTAATGGCATAGTGCTTAACTAGTTCAGCACAGGGACAACTTTACTTTTTACCTTACCTAATTCAGTACACTGCAACCCGGAAGGTGGAGTCGGCATGTTCCTCTGAAATGTCAGTGCTGTAAGTCCCCAACATACATGGTTTCAAGTTACACAAATCTGTAGCTACATGGATACAAAAGTATTTTTTTATTATTATTTAAATATTTCAAGTACTTGGACTTCTACAGTCATTAGTACCAGATTAGCAAGGTTTATATTGTAACGTGTTTCGTTACAGAAGACGCCGTAGAGATGGTTAATTGGTTTATTTAACAATCTACAAGTAACGGCTACAATTACTTATCACACAGTTGCGGGGTTTCACACTTTATAACCCTAATCGCATTAATCTGTTAACACTGTTGCGGGGTTTCACGACTTATAACCCTATGCGCAAATCAGTTCACTCTGTCTTCAGTAATCTACACGTTTACAGTAGGGGAGCTATGTATCACTGTATCACACACTCCCAATTACACAATCAC